TCATCTCAACTAGAAATGTGGCACCACGTGGTTGTTCTCGAGCAAAATAGGCTTCATGATGCTCCACCTAACCAGAACGAAACGAATATTAGTAAATATACATAATTAATTTATAGACGCCCATATGGGATGAAATAAATGTCCATAATCGCCCTGATTAGGAGAAGAATCTGTAGGACGAAGAGGTTGGAGCTACAAGTCACATTACAGGATCGTAAACTCAGCGAAGAACAGTTACGCTTACCTCGAAGATTGCTGGTGCATGCAGACTTTTGACTTTTAAGTATGCATTATTTTAGTAAATTTCCGATGCATAATCTCCCAAAAATTTCACAGATAAAAGCACAACATTATTTTGGTACGAACACGTCTGTCCTGTAACCCACGGGCACTGTGACTGTGTTGCGTAGGGTTAGCATATCAAAAATAAATTCTGTACTACCCGAGTTCGACCAACGTTGGTGGTGTGGATGAACACCAGACGGGGTAACATCTACAGTTTAGACATAATGAGAATACATTTTAGTAGGCATAGCCAAGTGAAATTCAAAGGACATTGTGGGCTTAATTAATCTCATTGTTGTAAAAATGAGTCCATCATCACATAAAGTGACCTATGATGACTCAAATTCTCATTAAACTTATTTATTCCTATTATTATATCCTCGCTTCCTCCAGATAGAGTGTTAGTGTCATACAGTCGTCTTCAACCTCCACTAAAAAACCAAAAATTTCTTAGAACCGAAGATGCAAGATCTGCGAGAAATCGTGAAAATCATGACGATCTCAGATTACTTGTTTGCTTTATCGATAGTTTAATTAGAGCTAATGTGGTCAAATGTGAATCCATAAATTATAATTTTCCATTGTAGGCGACGATTTCCATTTGCCGGACGGAAGGACATGGAGCTCTTTACCTCGAACAAGTTAACAATACGACGCCTCACCTTAGAAGAAAGTTGCTCCGAGGTATTGTTTTGTTTGGGCAGTACGTCTGTCGAGATGAGCTCTTCTATGTCATCAAGCCAATCGCTCATTCTTGCTGTTGCCAACTTCAAATTTGTTTGCGCCTGCTTGCGTCGTGTCAGTTCTTCCTCCTGCTTGTGGGCAGCTGCGCGCATGATCTGAATGCGCCGATCGGCGCCAGCAATATAAAAGGAGATAAAGCAGAAAGTAAGCTTGTAATATACGTACATGTGAGTGTGAAAGCACTAGGCCGAAAAGACGTTGAGAAGAGACTAATAACTGCAAATGGGCAGAAACGCTCGAACGTCAACAACTTGCCAAATGCTGACGTGGGCTGAGGACAGATCGAAGCTACTGAAAGAAAATGATGATGCGATAGGACAGTCAAAAGAGAATTCTTAGTCGATTCTCAAAATGATGATTCTGTACAAATAGAAGAGTTCAAATCGCTGGAAAGAGCAAAGCCTGAGAATGATGGTATCTTTATAGACTCATGATCAAGTATCGCCTTTCTACCCAATTTACCAAAAAAATTGTCACAGATGGACTTGCT